ATATAATACTTAAAAATCGAAATATTAAATTTTACTATAAGAATATTATATATATATTTGAGTAATATTAATAGGAATTTGTTAGTTTTAGCAGGTTGCGATATCGCACTTGTGATATCGCAGTTGTGATATCATATCGCAGTTGCGATATCGCAGATCGATATAAATTTATCCAAATGAAAAAAATTTTTTTATTGCAGATCAATATAAATTATACAAATAAAAATTTTTTATCGCAGATCGATATAAATTTATCAAATAAAAAAAAAATTTTTTCAAATATCACGTCATATACTAAATTTAGTAAAAAATACATACATAAGATCATTTGCATAAATCAAAGCGAGTATATGTAAAAAAAAAAAAAAAAAAGATCATTAGAGACGATTTTTACCTTGTATACCGTTCTTGCATTTAATATTGCACGTCCAAAATATTTTGAGGTTACTTTAATAAACTTGATCCATACCTTTTTGGTCATGTCAAATAACTTTTCGGAATCTTCATTTTTGGATCCTTATCTTCGCATTTATAATGAAAGACAAGAAGGTATAGTAAATTAATAACATATTACAAAATAAAAAAAAGAAGTGCAATAGTCATATTAACTGTTTATTTCTTCTTTATAGCATTCGTGACATCACCTAACTTTTCTTTTATTAATGATCTGAACATTGACAATTATTTTGACTTCTATAATGAAACTCTTGGTGATCTTTTTAACAATAGTCAGGTGACTAAAGAGTCAACGCAATTACTACAAGAACACGATGTTGTAATTCAAGAACAACACGATGTTGTAATTCAAGAACAACATGATGTTGTAATACAGGAACAACATGATATTGACCAGGAAGTTATGCAGTATGATTACCAAAGTAACGAAGAATCTGATTGTATAGATGAGAATGATGACCCCATGATTGAAGCTGGTGCTACTTTCCCGAATTGGAATTTTTTTGAAAATGCGTTAAAAAGATATGAGCTAGAGATTGGATTTAGAGCAATAAAATTTCGGTTAGAACGTGATAATAATGGGACAATAATTCGCCGATATTTCGTTTGTGAGAATTCTAAAGAACATCAACCTAAAAAAAAATTTGTTAATTCGGATCACAGAGAAAGAGAATCAAAAAAAATTGGATGTCAGTGGCAGCTTAATGTAGGATATCAAAAAATCTCCGGTGAAATAGTTATTAATAAACTTGTTAACAATCATAATCATTCTCTTGCACCATATCGAAAAGAATTTGCTCCAAGTTTACGCTCATTTTCACAAGAAGTACTTGATGATATAAAATTTTTTGACTCAGGAATATAAGCTTGGAACAAAAGCTCAACGTAGATACATTGCAAAAAAATTCCCTAATCAACCACTATATGATCGTGATCTATACAATGCAATTCGTCAGTATAAAAACCAAATTGGTAACCAACGTGAAAATGATGCATCAGATATGGTTAAATGGCTTATGAAGCAACAAGAGCAAGAACCAGGATGGGCAATTTACATTGAATTTGAGGGAGTTGATAATAATCTTTCACGGCTTTTTTGGATGTCACCGATGCAAATAGAATTATGGAAGCGATACCATGATGTGGTTGTAAATGATAATACTGCAAAAACAAATGCATATAATATGCTATTAAACTTTTTCGTGATTGTTGACAATCATCATCAATCGAGGCTTGTAGCACAGTCACTTGTTCAGGATGAGACGATAAATTCATATAGATGGATATATTTGTTTGTTGAGATAAAGGAGAAATTGTATATAAAGTATAGTAGCGATTTGGTTTGATGAAGTGAATTCACGTATAGTATGTATAATATCAAATAGTATAAGTCCAGAGAGTGTAGAGAATATAGAAGGTTTATCTAGTGATTGATGTGTTTGAAGACTGTCCAAGTTAAGAATTAAAGAGTGTAGTTGATTAGTGTTGCTTAAAGAGTTTTGAAGCTTGCTAGAA